ATATCTTATATCTACAACATATCTACCCTTGGTACCCATTTCCAACGATCTCACAGCTTGATTCTATTCGACGAATCCTGCGAGATCTAATCCAAAGAATCATTATGAACAATGAGTTGACTATGCTGCTTCGGGGATTCTTGGCTGCCAACGAAGATTAATAATTACAATAAATGAGGGGAATGGAATAAATCAAATCATCCAACTTTGGTTCATACCTCAAGGAATTTAAGTCAGAGATATTGTTAAACTTTGGTTCATGAAAACCGCAAGACATATAAGTCAGGGTGGTTATCTAGATAACTATGTTTAGCTGTGGTCTGGGCATATTGTTTGAACACGAAGTGCTACCCTCAAACTCACCCTATCTAGCAAAATAACATCTCATACGTGCATAGTAGTGGTCTATTACTGACACACCCTATTCGGTAGTCTTATGTAGTTCCCTCAACTACTTCGTGAATAGAAACACTGACACACGACGCTCGTCCGATCACTTCGTGTAAAGAAATTATGACTCACAAATCTCATCAAAAGAAAAGTATGGGAAATACTAATATAGTACTCTTGTACGCTCACGTACTCCTACACATAATAATGTCATCTGGAACAATATAGTACCCTAGTATGAGTAGGATCCGTACCCCAGCACATAAGAATACCTTGACACAAGTAGCACCTAAGACACAGAGTTTTATTCTTCGTTCCAATCTTATCAACATCTTGATATGAAACTACCCCGAATATCCAAACTGATTGGTTTTATAGAATACAAAAGTGTAGAATGCGGAAAAAAATTAACAGTTAATAGGGTACATGCATCCTATAAAAGATCTATGTGACCTTGACAGCAACATACAATGAACAACTAAACCTAGTATAACCCTAGTGTAATTCGAAATTACCAAATGTAGATTTACATATCTCTTGAATTGTTGTAGTAAACAAATCAGTTCAATCTCCTTGTAGTGTAGGTCTTGGAAAGCTTAGTACCAAAAGGATGATGCCTCTAATGGATCACACCCAAACCCTAGAACTAAAAGACAAGAGGAGAGAGGAAGGAGGAGATTTTCGGCCAGAGTATCTTCCTTGGAAGAGTATCCAAGAAAATTGATGGCCTTGGGGTCCTATTTATAGTTTAGGTAACTTAGGGACAAAGCAAGATTTGAATGATTAAATAATAGATTCAATCCCTAGTTCAAATCCTTTCCTTATTTACTACCAGGAGGCTTCTGGAGACCCTACAAAGGCTTCCAAAACCGTCCACCTCGATGGTAGGTTCTAGAATTGCCTTCCCTTTATCAACTATGAACAATTACAATTCACCCCTTGCACATTTAATTAATACCGATTAATCTCGAATTAATTTTAGATTAATTCTGATTAATAATTAATTAATTCTAATTGATTTCATATTAATTTATTAATCATATAAATTAAAAAATCAATTTTCTATTTCCAATTAATATATTAATAATATAATATATTAATAATCATTTTCTCATAATTTCCAATTAGTTTATTAATCATATAATAATCAAATAAATATTCCTCTTTCTATAAATGTCATTTTAACCAAATTCTAGTTATGAGGGCAACCTAAAAAAAGACTTTGTTTCTAATTACAAGAATATAACAATTTAGTTACTAATTTAGACACCTTAATCCAACAGTCTCCCACTTGGATAAGTCTGTAACTATAATAGAAAGTATAGACCTTCAAGTAAACAACAAAGAATGCTTTCTAAAGCCACTACCGAACATTGATTCAAATCAAATGTTGGCCCTAAGATAAGTGACCAGCTATTCCTTCTTTCTAATGTATATCGTATAGATATGAGATATGGATTAGAATCAATCTCATAGTCCAAAATTTTGTTTCTTGATTTCCTGATTTATGACGAATGAATTTAGACTACTAACTAAAAACATCAATTTAGTCTAGGTCGACCAATCCCTTTAGATGCCGACAACAAATTATCGAGGGGCCCAAAGATATCGTTTTTCCTGTTAAGGTAAAAGGAATGAATTACTTTAACTATATAGTCATACATTTTACTAACCAAATCATGCATGAAATTACTCTTTATAACACCCAGTTACGAGATGTGTTTGGGTAAACAAATGCACAACTGATTTGCAAACTATGAACTATATATTTCCGCTTAAGAATAGTAGATATTATCATCTTAGAATTACTTATGATAAAATCCATGAAGTAATCTCTAAGCGTAGGTTTATCCAATACTTAAAATCTCTATTTTCAAAGTACTCATGAATATTGTAGCAATTCCAATTGCAATGTCTTAACCTCAATCGACAATCTACAATCAACTCATGACAATCTTAATTCACTACTTACTTCCAAAAGTATGAGCGACTATGGAATTTTGAATAATATTAAAATTACTCAGAGAAGTAAACATGAAAAGTGAAACACAATAATAAATTAATTAACTATTGTTTCAAACTTACTGAATATAAATAATTCCTATTATTTAATCACCATAGTAATTACACATTTATTCATTGTATAATGTTTCGAGTAATCAACTAACCACTTGAATTAGATAACATCAGTCATGCCTATGTTATGAACATGCATACTATGCCTCTCTATGGTCCTTCCTTTCTGAATAGATCCAATGGACACTATTCCAATGATGAACATTTCACAATTCCAAATTCTTATCATTATTTAAGATGTAGTGGAATTTCATCTTTACATGCATTGTCTTTCTGTGATGTCGAGGGCCTAAAGTCACAGGGATCGACCCTTCGATATTACAGAATGTTCCACTGGAACTTGTTACTTAAAACAGTTCCATGGTTAGGAAGTCTCAATTCAAAGGTACATTCCTTGAACACTTCTCTTTCATTAAAGTTTCCAACTCACATGTAGATTTTACAAACATATCCCATTACGAAAACATTTCCATATTCCATATGAGCACCAATTCTGACCAAGAATCATCTCAATCCAAAACGTGTCACTATGGTCCATCCTATTGATAACATACTTTCAACTGTCCACAAGCAACCAATTCTTTAGTAAAACCTTAGAATGCTCTTGACAGTTGTTTGATAACCCTAGCATATGGGACTCGACTCATTATTATAAGGGTCCAATATATGTTCATCTCCTTACTATAACATTTCCATTTATTGAATTTCCAATGTGGAAACATTTCAACATGCTATTCATATATGTCTTGACTAAGTTCTATTAAACCATACAATCTAAACTTTTAGATTTGTAACGAACTATGAGTGCCCTCTCCCTTATGGCCATTATAGCGAAAAAGTTCCCAACTTTTTCAACTTGCAAGTTAGAGACATTGTTCCCTATGGATAGTATTGTTAACATGCAATCATAACAATTATGCTCCCACTATCTTCGACACTTACTCAGAAATCAACTGGACTTCTAGAAATCAATACCATTTGACTTTCTCATGGAAGTACAAATTCCTATTTCGCGATGCTTCGTTAAACCTCTAATTAGGCTTCTTATGCTTATGTACTTTATCTGGATAGTGTATATGTTCAAACTCTTTGAAGACGTGATAAACATATCTCCTGGAAGTTTAAACATTTCATTGCCATTCCTCACAATTCAAAATATGAAGAGGAATTTTGTAATCATATTGTGAATTTGAAAATGCAATTAATACAACCAAAATTCATATTGATCTTTATCAGATCTCTAAAATCTATCAGCAAAAGTACTTCCTCATTATGATTTTCATGAATTAGAGTGAAACCTTTTGCCACCTATATTTAAAGGTGCGTATGTTCCCATCCATCTAGATCAATCATTTCCATCCTATAGTCATAAGACAAGGTTTTGGACAAACCAAATTCAAAATCAGATTTTCTTCAAGGACTGAACTTCGCAAATTTTTTATTTATAATTTCTTGTCTTCTGGAAGCTCAAGGGGCTACCAGTGCTTCCATGTTGTTAGTAGCTCACCCAAATTGACCTATGTACTTTCATTGACCAATGCGCTTTTGATTTTGTAGTTAAATGAAAACATAGAACTCATAATCATTGCCAGCTCAACTAGAATTG